CTGTAAATTAATTTTCCATTGAACACTTCATATATACTTTATTCCTTGACATTGGTTGCTATCTGTGCAGTGTGTCAGCATTCTCCCCATTTCCACTTCAGCTTCCCCATGTCCATCCTCCAGTTCCTTGCCCCTCTTTGCCTTCTTATCTTTACTTTGGGGCAGATGTTGCGTGTTTGGTCTCCTATAGTTGATTGTTCTAGGAAGCACATTCCTACTAGGCATTATTGTTTATTTTATAGGTCAATCTGTTATTTGGCTGAAAGTGGACCTCTAAGAGTGGCTTCAGTTTCAGGTTGAAAGGGGGTCTTTGGGCAATAGTCTCGTGGGTTTTTCCAGTTTCTATCATTTTAGTAAATCTGGTCTTTTTTATGAATTTGAGTTTTGTTCTACATTTTTCTTCCATTCTAACTGGGACCTTCTGTTGTGTTCCTTATCAGAGTGGTAGTTGGGCACCATCTAGTTCTTCTAGTCTCAGGCTAAAAGAAGCTGTGGTTTGCATGGACCTTTAGTCCCATGGACTCATTTTTTCCTTGAGTTTTTGGTTCCAACTGTAATCTCCCCCCCCCCCCTTGTGATCTGGGTGAAAGTTTACAGAGCAAATTTATTTTCCATACAACAGTTCATACACATTTAGTTTTATGACATTGACTTCAGTCCCCACAGTGTAACATCTCTCCTCCCACTTTCTTCCTGTAGTTACCTCTCCCCTGTGCCCTTCTTTCCTATGCATTCCTGCCCTCTGAGCTATCTTCCTGTGCAAATACTACCCTTCTGTTCTCCCATGATTGATTGTTCTAAGAAGTATGTCTTCCTGGTGTAAATGTTCACTCTATATGCCTGTCTGTTGTTTGGCTGGGAAGCCACAGGAGTGAGTTCAATTCCAGACCTGAAGGGCGACTATGGGCTGTAGTCTCAGGGATTTCACCACCTCTGTTAGACCATTAAGCCTGGTCTTTTTTGATGATTTTGGATTTTGTTCTACATTTTTCTCCCACTCTATCCAGGATTTCCTACACTGATTCTTTTCAGAGTGGTTGACAGTGGTAGCCAGGCACCATCTAATTCTTCTTGTCTCATGGTCACATAAGCTGAGGTTTGTGTGGTCTCCTTGTCCCTTGGACTGATTATTTCCACGTGTTTGGTTTTCTTCATTCGTCTTTGCGCTGGAAGAGGAGAGACCAATTGTTGCATCTTAATTGGCCACTTTGGAAGCTTTTAGGACCCCAGACGCTACGTGGTTGCAAGCTTTTTAGTCTCTAGATGCTGCTTGCCCCAGTTAGGATGTAGAACATTATCTTTATGAACTATGTTACGCCAATTGTTCTAGGTGTCCTCTGAGACTACGGTCATTAGCCTTCAAGCCTAATAACTCAGTCCCAAGACTGATATGTCTGGATATGTCTAAGAATTTTCCCCCTATATACATGCAGCTCGTATAAATATGTGTATACAGATACCCACAACTGTGCCCTTATATGTGTTTGCATGCCCTCCCCCATCTACATATCATGCATGTCTATCTATGTAACCATTCAGAAATTTTGGTTGTATTACTGTTGTTGCAGAATTGTATATGGTATAGTAATTACCGTAGTTGTCCTTTATTCTT